ATATATCAAAACCAAGTTTCACCGCTTACTCGATTATTACACCCTCGGAGGTCATAATCACAACTCCCGCCGAGCTACCATGTTGGTTTAAAGAACTATCGCAGTACATCTGCCAAATATCTCCGACGTACATTCGCCACTTCTGTTGGGGTTGGACGACAGGATACGCTGGTTCGAAATCGACATGACAGCCTATGAACTCGGCAATGAAGTCGACCAGAATCTGACCTTTGATAGCCATTCTCGAAGAGAATTGGATGTCGTACTGGCCGAGTTCTAAAGCCTATTTCGAAACGCGCCTTGACAATTCTACATTACGAAGTACTGCCCGGAGAAAGTAGTCCGTCAGCACAGTTATGGTATGGGCTTGGAAGTAGTGCATTAATTTTTTGGCGGCCACCACGAGGGCCAGAATCAACTTTTCCAATGGTAAATGCCGTGTTTCATCTGTCACCATTGCCTTACCTCTCGGGGTGAGGAATGGCGTTTTTCCCTGGTCGTCGGGATGTATGGCTATTTGGTGATAATCCCTGTAGGCGTCCAGGAAGCTCATACATTAATGATGAGCAGTTGCGTCAACCAGTTGGTCAATTCTGGGAAGGGAGAAATAATTCTTGGGGCAGGTTTTATTGAGGTTCGTGAAATCCATGTAGATACGCCAAGACCCATTTTTCTTCTTGACGACAACTATATTGGATAGCCAGATGGGGTAATTCACTTCGCGGATCGCTCCGGTTTCTAAAAGCTTGTCGACTTCGATAACAACGGCTGAAGTATGTTCGGCTGCAGATCAGCGGCTCTTCTGGACGATAGGCTTAGCAGTTTGGTCAACATTCAAATGGTGTTGTGCCACGCTTGGGTCTACACCCGGCATCTCATAAAGTGTCTAGGTGAACACATCAATATTGCCAATAAGGAATGAAATCAACTCTTGGCGGTCGTCGGCGTTGAGATATGTGCCGATCAGGAAAAACTTGTTTGGTTTATTTGCAAGTCCGATCCGATCGACGTCCTCAAGACTTTCTCGGTCCGAAATTTTGATCGAATTTACTTCAATTTCCTTTGGTTTTTAGACTAAAGCTGTAAGGTAGCACTCCTTCGCCAACTTCTGAGAGCCGCAAATTTGCTCAATGCTGTGTTGCGTTAGAAAGCGAAGTAACTGATAATAAGTACTTGGTATGGCTTGCATTGCGTGAAACCAAGTTTTTCCCATGATCAAGTTGTATGGTGATGAAAGTTTTACGACCAGAAATTCCACGTCAAGTGTCCTAGTACCTGCACGCACTGCGACCCTGACCTTGCTCAGAGGGTATTCAGGATTCGCGTTAAAGCCGAACATGGGGTACTCTGCCGGCATGAGGTCTGATGTTGTGAAGCCGAGTTTGAAAAAAGTCTTGTAGTACATTATCTCTAATGTGCTCCTCTGATATATCAAAATACGTTCAACAACAAATTTGTTGACGCGTAACTCGATAACGAGAGTGTCGTCATAGAGAAGAACCAACCCTTCGAGATCTGTGTCGTCGAAGCTAATTTCGCTAGTTGAATGGGGCCATTTGGTTAATGTGAGTGGCTTAGATGGACGTGGTTGAGATTGCTGATACTGAATTGCATGGACGCTATTTGGTGACGGAAGACTATAAATCATATGAATTACTCCCAGTTACGGTGACTCCAAGCGTAAGGTTACTGCGTTGGGTGTGTTGACCTTTCGCGGGAGGTATTTACCTAGTCGACCATCTTGTACCAACTCTTCGAGGTGATCTTTCAAGGCGTAGCACCTGTCGGTTTCATGCCCATGATCTTTGTGGTAATCACACCGCCGATCCCTTCGCCTTGCGTTAGGGGGCGCAATCATCTTGGTCGGCCATTTAAAGAATGGTAAGTGCTGTACTTTGGGTAGTATTGTGCTGATCGGCTCGATCAACTTGGTATATTTCTTGTCAGACCGCCTGGGACGCCTGCTCTCCACCTGATATTGTTCGCTCGATCAGCAAGAACGCTGGTCCCTCAATCAGCAGCTATCTTGGCGACTTTCTCGTTTTGGCCTATTTTGTGGTTCAGGACTAGCTTGCAGTGGAACTACGCTTATTGGCTGAATCAGAGTTGGTGCCACCGTTTCCATAACCTTTTGACCTGTCTTGACGCGGAGTGCATCGTCCTCTACTTTGTAGTACTCTTCAACCTTTTTCATTAAGGCCTATACGATTTTAGGAGGCCGCATTGTCAATGAGCTCCGGAGCGGACTGTCAGGGTGTAAACCCATTTTGAAGGTAGTGATAGCCATGAAATCATTACAAGCGTCGTTAACCAAGTTAAAACATTCCCAATAATGCGCTGAATACTCACAGAGGGTTTCATTTGGATTGATTTGCATCGTCCAGAGTGAGTCGGCTTGTTTTAGTTGAACCTCGTTGGTGATGAATCTTGCCCGGAAGGAATTTTGGAGCTGATGAAAACTTTTAACCGAGGCCAATTCGAGTTTATAATAACACCGAACCACCAACGGACCTAGGCTGCATGGGAACATGCGACACATAGCGCCTCATCGTCAGCGTGCAACGTCATTGCCTGCTTGTAATGGCGAATATGATCCGTAGGATCTGACTTACTAGTCCTGTTTGGTAGAGCTGTGGGAAACTGCTTATAGCTTATGTCTGAACAGCTTATAGCTTATAACTTTCAGCTTAAGCTGATTTTCAGCTTATTCTTAAAGCATCTCCTGCCCCACTCAAAGAATAAGCTGATTTCTGACTTCCGCAAAGCTATAAGCTATAAGCTATAAGCTAAACCAAACACATCAAAATAGCTTAAAGTTGAAATAAACTGTAAATAATTTCTGCCAAACAGGCACACTGTCATACAACGTAAACGTCGGTGCCTTGAATTTTTTAGGCAAGACGACCCTTGCAATTCGTCATGCGAAAGGATTAGGTCTATTCTCTCCGTCGGAATCATCACTTTTTCCTTGTCCGTGACGCACGTATGGACTTCCTTCAAATGAGCTAGAGACGCCAATGCACTCATTCTTTCTGGGTTTTTAAGTTGACGAGTTGGAGGCGGTGTTACTTTCGTGTCCCCAGTGTCGACGTCGTGGATTATCTTTCTTCTGTTCCGGCGATCGACCTCGTTCGAGATGCAGTAGGGTTTGCTGAGATTTGGCTAATTCCAGAGCCAGTTCTTTACGTAATCGTTCATTGTCAGCCGCTATCTCTTCCAATCATTGTTCATTTCATTTGATTTTAGGAGGCCGCATTGTCAATGAGCTCCGGAGCGGACTGTCAAGGTGTAAACCCATTTTGAAGGCAGTGATAGCCATGAAATCATTGCAAGCGTCGTTAACCAAGTTAAAACATTCCCAATAATGCGCCGAATACTCACAGAGGGTTTCATTTGGATTGATTTGCATCGCCCAGAGTGATTCGGCTTGTTTTAGTTGAACCTCGTTGGTGATGAATCTTGCCCGGAAGGAATTTTGGAGCTGATGAAAACTTTTAACCGAGGCCAATTCGAGTTTATAATAATACCGAACCACCAATGGACCTAGTCTGCATGGGAACATGCGACACATAGCGCCTCATCGTCAGCGTGCAACGCCATTGCCTGCTTGTAATGGCGAATATGATCCGTAGGATCTGACTTACTGTCATACAACGTAAACGTCGGTGCCTTCAATTTTTTAGGCAAGACGACCCTTGCAATTCGTCATGCGAAAGGATTAGGTCTATTCTCTCCGTCGGAATCATCACTTTTTCCTTGTCCGTGACGCACGTATGGACTTCCTTCAAATGAGCTAGAGACGCCAATGCACTCATTCTTTCTGGGTTTTTAAGTTGACGAGTTGGAGGCAGTGTTACTTTCGTGTCTCCAGTGTCGACGCCGTGGATTATCTTTCTTCTGTTCCGGCGATCGACCTCGTTCGAGATGCAGTAGGGTTTGCTGAGATTTGGCTAATTCCAGAGCCAGTTCTTTACGTAATCGTTCATTGTCAGCCGCTATCTCTTCCAATCGTTGTTCATTTCATTTTGCTTGGTCCATTATCATCTGCGTAGTTTCCTACATCGAGGTCGAAGGTGAAGACTGAGTTACTGCGTTGAAATTCAAAGCTCTTCTTGTAGTGATGTTCTCCGGACCAAGCATGGTTCTTGGTGTAACATTATCAGCCACCAATGGAGGATCATCTGTTACGTCTATTATGAACGATCTCAAGTATTCCCACAGACGACGCCAATTGTGGTGTAATGGGTTTAGGAATACTCTATTGTCCAAAAACAGAATGCCCTCTCTGCCCTCCTCTCTTTTCTTATATATTGTTTCTCTTGTGACCTTCTAAGGGCTCATTATTTCCTCGTGGGCTTTGACCTCGTTCATGGACCCTCTATGTAGCCCATGGGATAATTGGTTCAAACAGCCCTTTAAGCCTAGTTTTATTTGGCTTTGGGCCACTGGACTTAATAGAGCTGACTTATCTGTAACCATAGATTCGGCATGTTTTACCGACTTGCACTGTGTCAGCCTAGGACACAGTTTCATTTATTTGGCTACCACAAGAACCAAATAAGATGAACGTGATTCAAACATATAATTACAAATATTCAATTATTTTAATTTTTTACATGAATATTCTATCCAATATCTAGAAAATAAACAATTGGGTAAATTACAAATACACCATGAGGTTTGCTTAAAGTATGGATTGCCCCTTGTGATTTCAAAAATTACAAATAACCTCTTGTTAGAATTTTTTATTTAACAGAATTAATTAAAAAAAATAAAATTTATAATTGCTCTCTAATACAATAATAAAATTATATAAATTATTAATTGAAATATATTTATAATATCAGTAAAAATTATTAATTGACTTGACGATTTATTAATAAAATGGACGATTTGTTATGAAATTAGAATTCGACTCACTAGAATCAATTTCAAAATAAATTTACTGAGACAAACGTTTTCCCATCCAAACACAATTGAAATACAAATGGAAAAAGGAAAAGTAAAAGACAAAACGAAAAGAATAGATTCTCTCTCTAGAATTCTCCTCTCTCTCTCTCTCTCTCTCTCGCTTTGTAGCCCACGTTAGTAGTCCTCCTCTTCCAGCAACCCATATAACTTTCGGCCATGGCATCACTGTTAGAGGTGGTTGTGGTGGTGGCGATGCCAGTCCTCTTCCTGATGGGTCTGTCTCTCTCCACCAACAACGGCGGCGGAGTCGAAGCCACATGGTGCGTGACGAGGAGCGAGGCCAGCGACCAGGCTCTGCAGACGGCGCTGGACTACGCGTGCGGCGCCGGAGCAGACTGCGCGCCGATTCTGTCGTCAGGGCTGTGTTACCTTCCAAACACGCTTCAGTCCCACGCTTCCTATGCCTTCAACAGCTACTACCAGCGCAGGGGCAATGCCCCTGGCAGCTGCGACTTCTCCGGCACCGCCACCGTCGCCGGAACTGACCCCAGTTTGTCCCCCCTCTCTCTCTCCTCTCTTTCTCTCTCTCTCTCTCTCTGCATGCTAATATTTGGTGGTTTATTTGTTGTGATTTGTAGGTTATGGATCTTGTGTTTTCCCATCTTCACAGAGGTATGCCCATTTGTCCTTTTTCTTTTTTGTTTTCTTCGTATTCGTCTGTCACCAATAATATATACATATTATACATAGATTTATGTATTTAATTTGTATAGAAGAAGTATGTGATTTTGGATACATGTTCCTCATCCATTGATTCTCTGCTTATTTCTTGCAATATGTATAATACGGTAGTGAGGGACAGAAAGGGGGAGAGAGATTAGACAAGTGTGTTTTTTAAAAGAAAAGATGGGGATTATAAAAATTTTGTCATGAAAATGATCATGAAAAATTTATGATTTTTAGATTACTTTGATTAATATGTGGTGTTTTATTCTAACAGCAATACTAGGTATTATGAAAAGTCTTTCATGAAAATGGTCATGAAAGATTTGTGATCTTTGGATTACACTTACAATAAAACACCACACACTAATCAAGGTAATCTAAGGATCATAAATTTTTCATGATTCTTTTCATGACAAAATTTTCATGATCTCTAACATTTCTCTTATTCTAAGTGTAATTCAAGGGTCACTTTCATGATTATTTTCATAAAAAAATTTTCATGATACCTAACATTATTGTTTTTTTAATCAAAGTTCCGGGATTTTAAAATATGTTTTCTGTTTTTCAACTTTTTGTTAATTTATATAATTATAATTTTAAAGCATGATTTTAAACTTGAGTTTATGCCTTAGAAACACCACTTTAGAAAGCATTGGAATAATTCGGATTTTAAGTAGGGTAGGGTCATCCATTGTCCAATTTGTTGGTTAAACTTTAAATAATACATTTTACGTATATTTTAATATACTTTATATATATTTCTCAATTCTTAACCATTGTCTCATGGGGTCGTGTTCTTTAACATATTTATTTTAAATACTACGAGTCTTGCTAATCACCTTCTAATGGATGCCACTTAAAGGTTTGGATAATATTACAATTTTAAATTAAATACTTATTTTATTTATATTTATTAATAGGGAAATTTATTATAAAAGAAAAAAATTACAAGGACTTGTATTGTAATTAGTTCATATGATATTCTTATATCTCAATAAATTTTATTATTTTGAACATTTAATTTATCAAATTCTAATTCTCATATTTAAAATATTTTATGAATAATTATATCCTTACAAATATTTTTGAATCTTTAGAGAATCTTCTCTCAAACTTTCAAAATTTGATTTTTAAAGGTTTACGTAACAAATCGACATATGTCAATTTTATATGAAAGCTTTCTACCTTATATGTTAAATCTATTATTATATTAATTAGCAAATCAATATATGTCAATTTAATAGGAAAGCTCTTCATCGGACATGTCAAATTTATTATTATATTATTTTTAATTAAAGACAAAAAAAACAAAAAAAAGAGCATCAAGGGGGTCTTAATATCAAAATTAGCATGAAAGAGTGATGCCAAAAGTCACGTCAACTTTTCACACATCGGGTAGAATTGATGCTTAATGTCAAAAATATAACTGTTATAATGTCACATCATATTTGAAGTATCGAGTGAAAGTGTTCTTATTAACTTAGTGATATGAACATTCATATTAAATAAATTTGACAATGTGAATATTCACATTATGAAACATTCAATGTAAATGTGAATGTTAATATTTGCTTCACCCTAGTATTATAGGAGTATTTTGATGATCATATCATTCATGAGATTTATTAAAATATATTAAAAAAAAAATTAATTAAGTGAAACATAAATAAGCTGACAGAAATTTATGAATAAATATTTTCTTTTAATATATTGATTACTGATTTTATATAAGAAAATTAAATTAAATTTAAATATGTTTAAAAGACTTGTGCATGAAAATTCAGGTAAATTACAAATAAATTTCTTGAGATTTATTTTGTTTAAAATACAGATTGTTTTATATAGTTTGAAAAATTATAAATGCCTCCTTATTAGAATTTTTTATTTAATAGAATTAATTAAAAAAATAAAATTTATAATTGATATCTTATACAATAATAAAATTACTTAAATTATTAATTAAAATATATTGTTAATATTATTAAAAATTATTAATTGATTTGATGATTTATTAATAAAATAGACGATTTGTTATGAAATTAAAAATCTCAAAATATGAAATGTAATTTTTAGAATTAGAGAGGATGGATTGTATTTTAACCAAAATTGTAATTTACCCTGAAAATTCGGTTTGAGAAAAAAAAAATGTGAAAAAAACTCGAGATTGGAGAGAGCTCTTGTCCGATAGCGTGTGCTTTGTGCATGGGGTGGGTGCTCATTTGTTATCTCGACCGTCGATTATGTTATTTAACTTCAATTTCCGGTTCAGATCACGGAGTGATATATCTCTAAGGTTTGCTCAGTTTGTCTTTTGTATTTCACTGTTGGATCGTTCCTGAAAATCAATATCATCCAACGGCTGGAAATTTAAAGTCAGATCAAGAGTAGTACCTTTTTTTTCATCACGATCAAGAGTTGTACCTTACTGCGCATTCCTGACGAAGACAGACATAGGATATCTGAATTGATGCGACATGACACGACAATTCTACTTATTTTGTGGGCCTACACTTTCATATTATAGTGGTGTCGAAAAAGCAAAAGCAAAAGTCATTAATTCTAGAGTAAGGATATTTTAGAATTTTTTTTTTAAAAATTTTTTAGAGTGGTGTATTATGTGGTTGACATTTAATGACAAGTCACATTAATTTTTTAATATTAAATCTCAATCACACAATACATCACTTTAAAAAATTAAAAAAAAAAACACTCTAAAGGATCCTTGGTGTTAATTCTAAATAATTAAACTTTTTATTAAACTCTTCGTAGATGTGTGGAAATCGCATATTTTTGATAAAAAATTTAGTAAATTATTTGAGATTTTTAATATAATTTTATTGAAAATTATATGATGAATTACACTTTTATCTTTTAAGTTTTGTTATTTCTTTAAGTTCGTTTGATTGATTGTCTGGATTGAATATAAAATTTAGATATAAGATATAATATATTATAAGATAGGAGATGAATTATATATATTGTGAGGTTACTTATATTATATTTAGTTAAGATAGGATATATAATGAAATAAGAGGAGAGTAATTATTTTTGACCTTTAGAGATTCCCTATATTCGAGCGGGAATATTTGATACCATAGGGGATTGATATTACATATCTCTCCTTTTTCATTATATACTATCTAGACTCCTTACATCCAGAGCAACTAAACACAGGATATAAGAAGACAAAAAAAATATGTGGAACCTACCTCATATTATATCTGATCTCACCCTTGTATCCATCTCTTACATATGGTAAACAAACAGGGCCTTAATTCTTGAATTTTTTTTTTCTTTCTTGAATTTTTTTCTTTATTTTGGTTCTTGATTTATGAATTAGATAAAGATTTATTAAAGGAAGAAGAGAAAAAGTAAGTACAATATTAATGAAATAAAATTGCATTTACACATATTTTGTATCAATTTTTTACTCATAAAATTAATTTATATTTAAAATTAGCTAATAAAAAAAAATTTGGCAATTCATATTCATGTAAGTTGTGTCCTCTCCTGCTTATTTTTTAATTGAGGCTTTCCATAATCTGAACATTAATATTTTAATAACTCGATGTCCCGATCAATTCGTGCGTAACGCGACTAATTTCAAAATCTAAAATTAATGACCCGACAAACTTTCAAGCTATGAAGCATGGGCACGGCAAATTTCATGCCGTGGTAGTGTCTGACACGGGGACACTCCGTGGATACGTACGGGACACGCCGGGTGGCATGTCTGTTTAATTTAATTATTTTTTTGCCGGGGATACGGCAGAGACACGCGTGTCCACCAAATCTGGACACAAAGAGCAAAAAAGAAAAGTAAATGAGAAGAGTAAAGGTCTTGAAACAAATCTGGACTTCGATCCAGTTGACTCGCCTGTCGATCTCCATGACTTCGACCACCGTAAGCCGTCGACCTCGACCTTGACCTCCATCCCCTTCGACTTTGATGATCCAGTCGCCCTTTGACTTCGACGAGCTCTCTCTCTCCCTCGCGATCGCGATCGATCGCTTCTTCCTCTCTCTCTCTCTGTTGCGTCTTTATCTCCTTTCATCTTCTTGATTCATATATATATATATAACTATTATTATTATGTAATAATAATAACTGAAAGTATTATTATTATAATAGTTATAAGGATGACATCAAGTTATTATTGTATAACTATTATATTATATAACAGTTATTATATATATAATATATTTATAAGATAATATATATTTATACATATTAATAAAAAAAATAAACATATGTATGTAAAATGAAATAAAAAAATTAATTGAAACACATTATTTAAAAAATATAATAAATAAATAAAATAATTAATGTCTATTAAAATAAAAATATTTAAAAAAAAATTAAAAAATCTGCCGTGTTTCCTGCCGTGTCCGTGTCTTCATTTTTTAAAAATTACCGAGTCCAGTGTCCGTGTCCGTGCTTCATAGCTTCCAAGAGTCTCTTGGAGTGACTCAAACTCGAGAATTTGAATTTTATCCTTAAGTTTTCAACTTTGGGCCAATCCCTTGGGCTTAATTTGAACATTAGTTAACATAGATGATTAGACAATGGATCATTGTCAAAAGTGGTTAGATCATGATGAATTATTTGAGATATATTTGCTATTTTTTCTATCACAAATGCTTAATGGCTTTTGATTTCTTCAAAATTTCAGCACGGCAGGAGGAACAGGAGGGACTCCAACAACAACAAACCCATCTTTAATTGCGCCACCTCCACCGGCAACTACGGTGCCGCTCTATGGCAATGGAGGACTGACACCCACCAACACAAACAATTCTAAAGCTAGTATGGAGTTATCAATTACAACAATCTTGATTTCCATCTCTTGCTTTCTTCTTCTCTCATTCACATATCAACAACTCATGTAGGCCTTTCGAAGTGGAAGGCTAGGTTAGTACATTTTTGTTAGAAATTGGAGCCTTCTTTTGTCGCTACCACCACCATGTAGTAGTTGTTTACAATGCCCATTTGATCTTTATAGTTTTATTTTGTCCTTTTGGTGGTAAAAGGGGTTGTTAGAAAAATTGGGACTCGATGATTTGGAGAAGTTCTTTTAGATTGAGCAATTGGGTTTAAGTGAAACCCTTCAAACCCCACTGTTGTTAAATTGTTGTAGATTTTATAAATTCAATTCAATGATCCAATTCAATTGTTTGGGTAGGCTATAAGCTTCATAATTGTGTTAATTGGTATGAAATGGAACACAAATTAGCAGGTCTTGTCTTGCATTGTATGCATTTGCCTTGCATTGTATGCATTTGCCTTGATAAATTTAGGAATTTACTTTTTCTGTATAGGCTATATACTTAGATTTGCTAGCAAGTCAATCTTTTACACCTTGAATTTATCAAATAGCTGTGAAAATTTCTGAGTCATGAACTACGAAGGGGAAAACGTGAGCCATAAATTTGAATTTCTTCTGGATTTAATTGATGCATGTGATTTGTGTGTGATTGAGGTATTCGGGCTATTTTACGTAGTGGTGGATTCAATATCCAAGTAAATTAGTAAAGGCCAAAAAATAGAGAACATTTTTATTATATAATGCAAGTCTTTAAAAGCACAATATTTTATTACTCCATTTGATAAATAACTAGTATTAATCCATGCATCCAAGAGAAATAAAGTTAATGGCCTCAATAATCAAATGCACTTCTGTTGCTTCATTGCTCCTTAAACCTGAAGAGACCAAGCACAGAAATAAAAATGATATGAAAACAGTGTGGTTTTGAACTTTTTCCAGAACAAAAATAAAGGATACCGAACAAGCAGGACTAGTGTATTTCAAATACAAAGCATAATACATACTCAAACCTAACTGTGGTTAGTTAAGATTACTTGTAAATGGCTATTTATGTTTTAGCTCCTTTGAGGCCAATATAGTGATTGATAGATGTTACGGAAACATTTAGATGTATGAACTAGAATTACTGATAGAAATTCACCATGGATCAGAAATTTAATAATTATGTCTGTTGAGACCTACTGATTCCTCTGTTGTTACTGTTTATGGTTTTGGTTTCTAGTGTGAATTAGAGTACATGTAGTCAAAGAACTATATCATGCTTAGTCATCCCAGAGCACAAACTTAGTACGATGACGTCGTGTTCCCAGACCAATAAGAGCACTAGTCATGAGATGAATGGAGCCAGCTGACGTGGTGTTTCCAGACCAATAAGAGCACTAGTCATGAGATGAATGGAGCCGACTTGACCTGCCTTGGTCAGTTAGGTAGGAAACAAGGTCGGCTCTATATATTCATCATCATTTGCATATTTCACTTGGATTAATTACCTTTGGTCCCACGGGGCACCTATCAGGTTGCCTTACAATGTAAATCTGATCTCCAGCCATGTTGTACATGCCCTGATTCCGGTGCCATGACCACAGAGCATGTGTCTCATTCTTCACCTGTGCTCCAAACATTGCCCCATTATCAGTTTGAAATTCTAGTGACAACCATTCTTTTACTGGAAAATTTTGAGTTAACAGATCTAAGTAGGTAGTAAGAATCTAAAAGGGGTTAAAGAGTCATCCAAATAAAACAATGACATATTTTGTTCAAAGGAGGCGTGTGCCAGCATTGAGAGAGGGGGAGAGAGAGAAAAGTACCTCTAGAATCCCATGTCCAAAGCTAGTTTCCCTGTATGCACTGTAATCAGGCTGCCGGTCCCAACAAAACTTACCTGCGGCTGGGCCTGAGGTAAAGTTGTATGCACAGAATCCACCCATGTAACCATCTGGTGTGGTGGATGGGTCTGGACAATTACCCGGTTCATCAGCATGTGGAATTGCCATCTTCTCTCGGTTACCACCATCACCAACTGTGATATAAACAGGACCACACGGATCCAATGTATAGTTATATACTCTGTTGGACCTCTCATACGCATGAACCTGTTGATTATCGCTAAATAATTAGAACCATCAAGACCAGTGAGAGTCTTTTATTTCTTGCTCACAAGGAGACAGTAGACACTTACATGTCCATTAAAGACCATGTCAACACCATATTTGTAGAGCAGTTCTTCCATTGCTACCTTCATACACTCGGCCTCTCTGTAATGTGCCTTGTAGCTGCTGTACCATGGCGGATGCCACGTAGCTACCAACCATGGAGTCACTTTTCTGTCAACTTTAGCGAGGTCTCTCTCCAACCACTTGTATTGATCCGCTGTGGTGGGAAACAAGAATAATATAACAAAAGCAATGGTTGTAAAACATTGCTCGTGGACACAGTCGTGTAAGTTTAATTACCTGATTTATTATAAGCAATGTAGCCCCCGAGCATTATGAAATGAATGCCTCCTGCATTGAAAGAATAATATAAGGTGGAAGAAGATTCGCTTTCCTCAGATGGGAATGCAAATCGAGAACTGTAAGATGCAAATGTCAGATTTCCAGCCTGTTGTTCTATATCATGGTTTCCTTCTATCACCATTATTGGAACTTTAGATACTAAAGGCTGCATAAACCTGAAATAACATACCCCGTGGTATATGCATAAGCAAGATTGCAAATGAATTGACATAAAATGAAATATTAGAAATATAAGGACTAGAAAGACGCAGGATTAGCAGTCAAAAAAGGTAGTATATGTCATCACCTTGGAAGGCTTCAGTTATTATTATTATTTAAATAAAAAAAAATACTGAACTGATTCCGAGAATGAAGGTTGGAGAGTTACCTGGCCCAATAATCCCAACGAGGCTGATAGGTCTCATGAATGGGTGTTTGTGGAAACGAACAAGAGTAACAGTCCGAACCAGTACCATTTGTGAGATACAAGTTAGCATAAGTTACATCCCCGATTAATAGAACAAGATCAGGATGATTTCTCATCAAGTGGCTGATTGTTGAAGTGGTATTATACGTAAGACCCAGATCTCCCACCACTGCTATTCTTTTTGGATAATTCCTAGGACCCGAAACAGGCATTGTCTTGAAATAGGACACATTACTCATTGCTGGTATAGACGGATCTCCACATTGATAATAGTATACTGTGTTGGGCTTCAACCCTGCAAAAAAAAGGAAAATAAAAAAATAAAAAAAACGAACAAGTTCAAATTAACCACTTCACAGCAAATTCATCTGTCTTGTGTCTATGTACACAAGCATTGAAGCCTGATGTTAATCAGTTCATATCAAATTTAATCCAAAAAATGTATACGTGCTTTAAAAGAAGTAGATTGTTTAGGATTAGGGTAGAATTGTATATTGAAATTATAGTAAAATTTTAAAATTTTATAAAATTTCATGTATTAGTAATACCTGTGAGACGAACATGGTGAATAATTCCAGAAGTGTAATTCTGCAGGCCTTCAAAAGGATAGAGTTGATTGTAGATGAGTGAATCCCCCTTTGCTTTGTGAGTTAATGCAGATTTCGACTTCCTATAATAAACAACACTTCTTACAGTTTCAGGGTTTAGTGGTTCAATGTTGTTGCCAATCTGAAATTCCCCTGCACATTCAATTTAATCTCACATTCTCAAATACCGTACGTCGAAATAAGCGATTTGAATCAATCGAAGACCCTAATGTTCATAATTGTAGATTTAACAAAATTAATTTCCATTGATGTGCACAGGCGTGCGCGCACACACTCATATGTGAAATAGAAAAAAATCAAAATGCTCTGTTTTGAGATGCAATCGTATCCACGTAATTTTATCGAAATAGTAACAATTTCATTCGCTAAAAACAACAATTGTAAATCAGCCCAATGAAACAGTGAACTGCGAAATCAACATTATACTAACACAATTCATTGAGGCATAACTACACACACATCATATGTGCAATTTTGACAACACAAATCATATCATGGATTGCCTTACCTCAATCACTCGTCTTTTCCACTATTTTTGTGAATTCAATCTTGTAACTATTTAAAAGATTTAGGAAGCAAAAATTTGATTCTCTAAAAACAGAACAACCCATGTATTCATTCAATTTCTCAAAGCTTCTACCCAAAACCCAATTCATATTCCACATCTTCTATATTTATCTCAACAAATTCCATCAAATGAAGATATGGGGGAAAAAAATACCAGTGATCCAAGATATCCAAACTGAATCATGAGTTGAGGAGAGAGAAACTGATATTTGCTCAGGCTCAAATCCTGTAACCTTCCTTTGCACACGAGGATCGGTGTCAGGCAAGTCTGAGGCCAGTCCGCGGAAGTTGTTATCAAGAGGAACAGTCACAGGCTTGAAGGGTCCTTCAATGGTTGTTGGGATTTCGGCATGAGCTAGGACCAAGCTAAGAAGAAGAAACAGAGGAAGCCCAATTACAGTAACTACATGGAAACCCATTTCTAGAGCTTACATGAATCAAACAACCAAAACCCAGATACAAAAACAGATAAGAATACCCTCTAGAGAGAGAGAGAGAGAGAAGGTGGCTAAAACTTTCTTGGATAGAGGTAGCAGTGTAGAGCACTATATTTTCTCATATATATATATTGGGCATATGTGTTTGTGTGTTTTGTGTTTGTGTGTTTTGACGTGTATCAATAGCAGCAGTGGAGCAAACGCAATTGCAATTTTATATTAAATTTTTGAAAATAAGGAAGATATGTCATATTTTGAAAACTGTTTAGTAGTTATTAGGCATTATTGAAAAAGAAAATATTGTTATAAAGCTTCAAACTTTCTTCTTAAAAGAAAAAAAGGGGAAAAAAAATCCAAACTATTTTTTGAGTTACATAATATAGATACTTCTGGATTACATATTATTAAAAGGGTAAAAGTGCAATTGAAAAAGAGATTGAAAATAGATTTGTATATTTATTAGGTGGAGATGGAGGGAAGGTGTGGAAGATTGTTTAGATAGAGAGACAGAGTTACGGAGAAAAAATTATTTAATATTCTTAGAGCGTCTTTATTATTCATCATACACCATATTTTTTCATATTCGACAATTATTCGATATAAAATCATGAATCTCATCTTCTCTGTCAATCATAACATTTTAGAGCAATACCTAACCATGCTCTAGGAACACTAATAATCACTCTGCGAAGGGGATTGGGGTGGGGTGGTGTTGGGACATTCAACGGTTTTCTGGAAGTTAGCCTGAAAGCAAAAAGAGAGCATCAGAGGGTTCGGCTTTCTTTCGAGGCAAAAAGAGAACCAACAGCTGGACTTCCTTTCAGTTTCTCTCTTTGGACATGGCCGGCTTCAAGCCTCATGCAAACGGCACTCACTCACTACTCTTCAAGGCAGGCCCAAAAAGTAAGAGGCTAAAGTAGTCACAATGCTCTTGCACTCTTGTGCTCGGCATAAAAAAATAAATTAAAATTGAAGTAGAGTTAGGACCGACCTATAATTAAGTTAAAATAGGCTAGTCTTGATTATTATTTAAAGTTATGATTTAAAATGATTCTTAATTATGTTGTAATTTTATGTTCAACGAATAAGTTCTGATTATGTGTAATAGTAATATAAGAATTTTATACTTTAAAACGGTTTTAATTACGTCTTATAAGATTGACGAATATAATATATAGTAGAAGAACAAGTATATAGTGCAGAGCAAAACCCACATAAGAGAGAAATTGTTGGTTTTGGGTGCAACATGACTCAACTTAGGTGGTCCATGACATGAGTCATATGACCATATTTACAAGTGAAAATTTGAACCCATATACAAGTAGGGGTTACAGTGAAAATTAGTAATTATCTCTCCTTTAACTAATGAACCCCCATATGTCCTTTATTAATATAATAAAAGTTCTATAATAATTTGAAATCTTTTATTGGTATGAATGCAAATTAATAGTTTGAAACGTTGCGTTGTCTAGATAAAAAAAGCAAATATTGTTGGGCACTAAAAAGTGTCTTTAAAATTATGCTTTCACACGCTAGAGGCGATGGCAGTTCAAAAAAAGTACACTAGAGTAGATTCATCAAAACATAGAGTGGACAGAAAGTTGAAGCGCCGTAGAGAACTCTACTTTCTTTCAAGGGCCCAAAACACAGGCCCAAACAAAAGACGAACTAATATGAATGCCAGTATTTTTATCTTTGCTGAATTTTTATTTTTATTATTTTTTAAATGCACCTAATACAAAAAGTAAAAATATTTGTGCACAAATTTTAAAAATTTACTAAAAACAAAACAAAAAATAAAAATGTGCACTTTTTTTTTTTTTTTTTTTAAAAAAAGGGCTCTTTTTTTTTTTTTTTTTTTTTCTTTTTCCTTTAGTGAAATTTTTTCAAATTAGTCAGAATTTTTTTATTTTTATTTTTTAGGTGCATCTAAATTAGGTATATTTAAAAATTAAACAAAATTGTAATTACAAAAAAATCTCAGAGTTTTACACTTGTAACAAAATAAATTTTTAATTTTTAATTTTTAAATCCTAATCTTTTGATTGTTTTCAATTAAAACCATAAACCTATTTTTGTTAAATAAAATCGACAGAAAAATAATATATTAGTCATTAAATTCAATGTAAGTGTACATAAAATGTCTACCATTTTTGTTGAGTTTAATGACAAAAATATAAATTTTTTTTTGTCGGTTTTACTTAATAAAAATAGGTAAATAATTTAAATTGAAAAAAAATAGGGTTTAAATTGTCAACATAAAAATTCATAATTTATTTTGTTATAAGGGTCAAATCCTGGGATTTCTTATAATTAACCTTTAAAAAAAAAACTAAATTATGGAAAAAATTTACTTAGAAAAAAAAAGAAAAAAGAAAAAAGAAGAAGCTCAAAAAATATATTTGAGTTGGAAAACCAAACAGAGTTTTCTGGAAAACTTGGGTCCTCACATATGATACAAATTAAATTTTGTATTCTTTTAAACTATATTTGAATTGGAATTTTAAAAAATAAAGATAAAAATTTATATTTCATTGAGATTTTATCTTTCTTTTTACATGTCTTTTTACATGTCAGATAAGAGGACAATGTCACGTAACCCAAGCATGAATGAAATCGCCTTCTATAAAAAAAAAATCAGTAGAATGTGAGGAAATCCTAAGATCCATCCTTCATCAACGGTGAAGATAACAATTGTCAGAAATAACACGACTATCCGATTAAGATAATCAGACGAGCACAGTATTTGGCAAGTTGGCCACTACCACCTGACATAATCTAAGTAGTTCGCAGCAGGATGATCTGACAATAAAGGATAAAGATAACCTGGTCACTTGCCCGACCAAAGTCTACGGCCAGGCAGAGCCCTCAAATCAAGATGTTAATTCAACGGCCGAGGCCAAGGCAATAACACTATAAGATGACAAATAATAAAAAGCAAGGGGATAGACAAGAGGTAACTAAGACTCCTTTAACAAAATACTATATGACTGATCAGCATTCTAATTTGATTGTCGGAGGGTCGAAGGGTCCTCTGACCATCTCTGATCGAAGTGATCATTGATGAATTGGTGCAACATAAGAGAGACGTTGTTGGTTTTAGGTGCAACATGACTTAACTTAGGTGGTCTATGACATGAGTCATATAACCATATTTACAAGTGAAAATTTGAACCCATATGCAAGTAGGGGTTATAGTGAAAATTAGTCCTTATCTCTCCTTCAACTAATGAACCCCCATATGTCCTTTATTAATATAATAAAAGTTCTATAGTAATTTGAAATCTTTTATTGGTATGAATGTAAATTATAGTTCGAAACGTTGCGTTGTCTAGATAAAAAAGCAAACATTGTTGGGCACTAAAAAGTGTCTTTAAATTTATGCTTTCGTACACTAGAGTTGATGGCAGTTCAAAAAAAAGTACACTAGAGTTGATTCATCAAAGACTTGGCGTGGATAGAAAGTTGAAGCAACGTTGAGAACTCTACTTTCTTTCAAGGGCCCAAAACACAGGCCCAAACAAAAGACAAACTAATATGAAGGAAAATGGGGGAGACCCCAGCACTCTCTCTGGTGCTGATTGGCCTAAATTTTTTTTTTTTTTTTTGTTGGGTCTGCAGCGCTATTGATAATATGAATGCCAGTATTTTAATCATAGAAATCTTCGGTTTATTTGGTTTAATTTTTAAAAATTGTTCGGGTTTTTTATTTTTTGTAATTTTTTTTTTATCCTTTCTGAATTTTTTATGTTTTAGTTTTTTTTTTTTTTTTTTTTTTAAATTTTTTTTTCAATAGGGACCTGAGGCAGTATTACATTTTGTAATGTCCTTTATGCAGAAAATTGTTATTATTAGGGAGCTTAAAAAAAAAACCCCAAAATTAAAATGTGCATTTTTTTTTCTTTTTTCATTTTCCTTTAGTGAAATTTTTTCAAATTAGTCACAATTTTTTTTTTATTTTTTAGGTGCATCTAAATTAGGTACATTTAAAAATTAAACAAAATTGCAATTACAAAAAAAAAATCTCAGAGTTTGACAATTGTAACAAAATAAATCTTGAGTTTTTAATTTTATTATACTAATCTTTTGATTGTTTTCAATTAAAACCAGAAACCTATTTTTGTTAAGTAAAATCGACAGAATAATAATATATTAGTCATTAAACTCAATGTAAGTGTTGTTAAGTAAAATCGACAGAATAATAATATATTAGTCATTAAACTCAATGTAAGTGTGCATAAAATGTCTACCATTTTTTTTGAATTTAATTACAAAAACATCATTTTTTTTGTTAGTTTTACTTAATGAAAATAGGCAAGTAGTTCAAATTGAAAGAAAAAAAAAATGTTTTAAATTGATAAAATAAAAAATTCAGAATTTATTTTGTTATAAAGATCAAATCTTTGGATTTTTTTATAATTACCCTTTAAAAAATAACTAAAATATGGAAATTTTTTACTTTAAAAAAAAAACTCAAAAAATATATTTGAGTTGGAAAACCAAACAGAGTTTTCTAGCAAACTTGGGTCCTCACATATGATACAAATTAAATTTTGTATTCTTTTAAACTATATTTGAATTGGAATTTAAAAAAATAAAGATAAAATTTTTTACTTCATTCAGATTTTATCTTTCTTTTTCATGTCTTTATTTAATGGTGTGGAGGAATAAAACAATGGCCCAAACCCAAGCTTAGCCAAGCAGATTGGCCAAAGGAAAAAATCCCATATGACTAAAAGGTCCATCAGATAAAGGGACAACACCAATGATAGAAAGCTTTAAATTTTAAACTCTAAAGAGAGTTCTAGTGATGTGGTAAGGGTAAAAATAAATAAATAGAATAACAACAACAACAACAATAAAGTCAAAACATCACATCAATGAAATGGCCGTAGAACACCTTTGGAACTCATGTTTTAGAGCTCCAAAACATTTTTGAAGGGGACAATGTCATGTGATCCAAGCAAGAATGATATCTTCTTCTAGAAAGAAATCTGCAAAATGCGAGAAAATCCTTAGATCCATCCTTAATCAACGGTGAAGATAACAATTGTCAAAAATAAAGGCATAGGCTTCACCTATCCAAACAACACGACCGTCTGATTAAGATAATTGGACGAGCAGAGCGTTTGGCAAGTTAGTCACTATCAC